AACCAAATTGGGGATTTTAGTCTGTCACCATAAAATCTTCAATTATAAGCCCATCAATGAGTATTTCCTTATTTATATGCACTCAACCCCATGAACTAATATTCTCATCCATGAAATTGAATTTGACTATTACTTTATTGTGGAAAGCATAGCCCTCTCGGATGGTATGTTTCACAATAAATTTTAACAATTCAATTAACGAGATCAAAAAGTAAATGAAGTTCAAAGTTTGAATCATCACAAATATAAAATTAAAATATTGCACAACAATCTTGATTCTTCACATGACCATTTCTCTTTGTAGTGAGAAAAACAAAGAAGTTTACTCAGAATTCATGAGGAAAATACAACAAAACATGAATTATATATATATATATATATAATGAAATAAAAGTAAAACAACTTAACTCAATGAGTTCCTTTGAATCTCTTTCTCTCTTTACAGTAACACTCTAATCTCTCTTAGACATGTAAGGAAGAAAAAAATCTCTCACTTTCCCTCTTCCTCTTACAACTCTTAGAGGCACTTGCAACAATATCTCACAACTTGGAACTTACGCCCCACTCTCTAACACTCAACACACACCACTTTTTTTGACATAAAAACACTCTTTTGTAATGCAGGGACAAATTTCCCAACAGTCTCCATAGGCACATCTTCAAAATCCGTCTAAATTCAATACATTTGTGAAAAAAATCGTCTCTAGAACCTATGCACCAAAATCTGGCTTCTAGGCACTGTATTATCTATATTCTGGCGCTTAGGCACCAGTTCTAGCGCCTAGGTGCCAGTTCAATTTTTGGAAAACGCCACTTTTAACTCCAATTTCATACTTTTTGCATCATTTAAGCTCCAAATGCCTAGACTTAGTATAGCTGCAAGAAAACATGAAAATACTTTTCTTTAAAGTGCAAGATCACCAAATATAAGCCTTAAATACATATGAAAAATTGAAAATTTTTTTTGGTATATCATTTACCTAACTTCCATAGTATATTAAATTTTTTTGGTATATCATTTACCTAACTTCCATAAGTGCCACACCATATGCATTGACCTTTATTTTCAAAGCAATCCTTCCTTTGGAAGTCAAACTATCTTTGTTATGTGTGTCTATACTGCCACGCTCTTCTAATACGGAGTGGTGATAATGCTCACATCTCTTTAGAGCCTGATGGTTTGGATGAGCTTAGGTTGTGAGCCCAATAGAACCTAGAGTTATACCAAGCTTGAATGATTAGAGTGCATGACAAGCTAGTGACACCAAGAGCTTTTAGTGTGGGAGAGCTTGTACTCCCTCATCATATCCGATCAATGCAAACAAATAAAATTCAAACTAATGTGGGAAACACCATTCGGGATTGAGAAAGTTTTTGAAAGTGGAGCCTACGTGCTAGTTGATGCAAATGATAGCCATCCAGTACCACCCCCAATTAATGAGAGGTATTTTAAGAAACAGATGACTTTTATGCCTGTGTATTTTTTTTTACTTTAGTTATATTTTATAAAGCTATGGTGTTGCCAGCCTATGTGCTTGTAAATTAATTTTAGTAAATATAAAATGAAGACTTTTTCTAAGGTCTTTTAATGCACATATGGTTAATGTGAAGTATGCTCGTTGCCCTCTTAATGATTTGCCCATCTTGGGATTGAATAAAACCAAGTGTGTGCTTGGCCTTTAAGTGTTGTAGGAAAAATCTGACAGATGAGTCATTAGAGGCTTGTTATAAATGAATGATAATTCTGAAGTGGACAACTTATTCATATGGGTTAGAAGTCTCATCATAAGCATTAATGCTCGGAAGCTTCATTTGGAATAGAGTGTTGAAGGACTATCTATGCTAATGGAGAAAATTTTTGAAAACAGCATTAAACTGACAAAAGAATTCTATACCTCAGGTGGAACTCTTCTCAGATTAAATGTCGTAACTCGTCACGAATTGCCTAAGGTCAAGTTACATTGTCTCACGAATTGCCTAAGGTCAAGTTACATTGTCCATGCGCAATAAGAGCTTGCAGTTAGGCTTGACCGCAGAGGATGGATGTGTAGCGCTAGCGGTGTCTATGTGCTCAACTTCATGAGGAGGAACTCCAGTGTGTGAAGGGGGTGCCAGGTGAGTAACCCGCATAAGAGAATTTTGAAGTACATGTGGCTCTCTAATAAGCACAATCGTTGGTTGTCAAACTTTGCGTAAGTGTAAAAAATCTCATTACATGATTCCTCCATTTTTCATACTTGATCTTCAAGTGGTGCAAGGGAAGTTTCCTCACCAACAGGATGGTGTGTATCATTGAGAAATAGGCTAGAGGCTTAATGTCCCGCACTTTGGGCATGTGCCATAGAAGAACGAGTGTTAGAGCAAGTAGTGCTCGTATTGTGCTTGTTAGCCATCAAATAAGTGTGCACTTCCCTCACCAGGACTTCATTTCCCATAGATGACGCCAAAATATCACGTGCCAAAAAATGCGGCAGTAGAGTAATGATTTAACATCTCAACATTGTACCAAATTCAGTATACACATGTGTAATAAAAAAAAAGAGAGAAGACACTGGGAATTTTTACGTAAATTTTACATAAAAAAATCTTAAGAGGGAAAAAACCATAGGACCTTGCCCAGTTAAAATTTTCCACTATAATCTGTAAATATAAATATAAACTCTTATCCCACAAATGGAAAAAGTTACAAGGGTTCTCCAAGTAAAATGTTCATATACAAAAAGATTTACTGTACAATGATCAAAAGTTGTTGTTGCTGGAAGTTATCACTTGGTCATTGATACACCATGTTCATGGTACATCATTGCACAATATTTAGAACATTGTCTCACTTCGTATACAGGAGACTTCATCATGCATGAGAGTAATTCATTACTTCATAATGTGCATCATTACTTTGTAAGGCACTTTGTTACTCCTCAATACACATATTTACCCTGTAGGATACTCATTACTCTGCAATGCACATCGTTATTTCACATGATACTTAGTTACTCTGCAAAGTCCACTAATGATGGTGAGCAGGGGCTCTTAGTGGTGGTTGGCGGCGGCCTTTAGTGGTAGTTGGCGACTACAGAGGTTGGGAGTTAAGACAAGTGCTTTAGTACAAAATCACATAAGAAGTGGGCTTCTTCTTATCTTTCCTCCCTCCCCCTCTAAGTGAAGAGAGAAGGTCTATTTTTAGGTCCTGTTGGCGAATAATCGCCATAACCATCTGATTAAAAGACCTACGTCTATTCTCCTTGATCATGGGTGATTTTTTTTGATAATTTGATGACCTTAATAATCTCAGAATTAGACTTGGGTTTGTTGGATTCTTATAGTCGAGACACTTTATTTGATTATTGACACGTCAAATTTGGAGTTCATTTAACCCTCCGATTAACTACCCAAGCCTCCAAAAGTGTTTCAACGACAATCCATGACTGTTTTGGCTCGAATTGGATCAATTTTGGTATGATCAGATTCATCTTGTCAAGCCGGTCATTTTAACTATAAGTTAGCTAAAATTAGAGCTATGGATTGGAGTGTTTATTACTCACCAAACAACTTGTCATTTGGGCCAAGTGTGTCGAGATTCATGCCAAACGGTAGAATTAGTTGATGACACATCAAAGAGTGATATTAAATTTATCATATATCAAGACACATAATTTGACATAATTAGACTATAAATACGTAAGATTTGGAGACCATCTAATATCTTAATTAATATTTCAAAATTTTTATTCATATTTTAAGAATTTGGTATGGATTCATATCAGAAAACTTCCATCATAAGTGAATTCTATTTATCAAGACATTTAGTTCTTCTATAAATCAGAATAAGATGGTCATCATCCAACGTACTTGTATGAAAAAAAAATAAAAGAACCATAAGTTATAGTTGCAAATTCAAATACTTGTATTGAATTTGAAAAAAAAACTGAATTAAATTATTCTAATTAAAATTTAATTTTAATTTTTAAAATTTAAAAATGTATTTAAAATTTGGAAAATTTACGTATCTATCACATATTTTTTATTTGTTTACAGATTTAACACTTAAAAATTCAATATTTATATTTATAACATACTGAATTAAATTATTCTAATTAAAATTTAATTTTAATTTTTAAAATTTAAAAATGTATTTAAAATTTGGAAAATTTACATATCTATCACATATTTTTTATCTGTTCACAGATTTAACATTTAAAAATTTAATATTTATATTTATAACACTTTGGTGGCACTTTTTTATGATTGAAAATATGCATTTAATTTTTATAAAGTTAAGAACAGCGACATTTTAATATAGTATTAAAGATGCGAGTTTTATGTATGTAAATATAAAATTTTAATTTTTTGATATGTAAATACATAAGAATTTTATGATGCGTATGTAAATGGCCTTTAAATTTATTTTAACGTGGACATAATATAATAATTATTTGCTTATCTATGATTTGATTAATCTAAAAATAATTTTATAAAAATAAAAATTTATCACGAATATATATTACACTATTTTTTTTTGCTAGGTGCCGCCAAGATTCATTTTGAATTAACAGTTAGCAGACAAACACTCACTAAACACTCTCTCGACTAGGGGTGTAAATGAGTCGAGTCGAGCTTGAGCCACCATCGATCTGAGCTTGAACTTGATTAATTTTATCGAGCTTAAGTCTTCGAGTTCGAGCTAGCTCATGAGTCAGCTTGTTTACTATAAAAAAGAAAAAAATAAAATTAACTTAAGGGGATATTATAATAAAATGATAAATAGAATAAGTAATTATAAGAAAAATAATAAGAAATAATATGATAGACAATGTAAAATTTTAATTTTATATTTTATATTAATAAGTGGAGCCGAGGTTAACTTGAGCGTGACTTGTTAGTTCAGAAATAATATGATATTACAATGTGAAATTTTAATTTTATATTTTATATTAATAAGTGGAGCCGAGGTGAACTTGAGCGTGACTTGTTAGTTCGAGTTATGTTCAGGTTATGTTCAGGTGCCACTCATCTCGACTCACCAACCTTCTCTCGACACTGCTTGTGCGCCGTCAGAACAGGGGATCGCACTAAACCGCACGTGTCCCTTACGAGGCAAATTTCTAAAAGAACTTGTGTCCTGTTTGCCATTCTTCTATAGCTGATCCTGTAGCGAAGTCGCCGCGGCGCCCTTCCTCTCTTGAATCTCTCCTTTTTAAATTGCAATTCCTCCACCTTTCGTACAAAGAAAGCGCACTGATGAGTCCCAAATGCTTCGAAACAGCGAAAGGCAATGATTTCACCATTTCTGAATGATAAGGGCGAAAGGCAGGATCCACCAGTTTGATTTGTTCATTGTGCACGATCTCTCCGATATCGATGTCTGCTTGCTGTCGATCATCTCCAGTTCTCAGCCTCCTGTATGAGGATCAGCTCCGGCGACATCCCCGCCGGACGATCGCTTCTGCGGCGCTTCCATCGCGACCTCCGGCGCCGGATACGGTGGGGGGATTGCAGGCCTCGGGAGCTGTATGTGCTTGTGTGGGGGGGGGGGGGGGAGGGGGGGGGGGGGGGAAGGCGTGGGGCAGTGGTTTTGGCGCCTGCCACAACGGCGGTTCTCGGGACTGGGAATCGGGTGCTGTATAAGCTGGCCCTCGTCCCGCTAAAGCGTTATCCCTTCTTTCTAGCGCAGCTCGCCACGTTTGGGTTAGTGTCTCCCTCATCGTTTCTTCTTTATTTTTGCATCTTCGAAATCAATTATGGAAAGGTTATCCGATCGTTCGAATCGTTGCTACTTTGTTTAAGAAGTGAAAGTAAAAGGAAAATGTTCTTTTAAAAAATTAATTTCTCGTCCATACGTTAAAAGAATTCCGATTTACTTGCTGGTATTTGAAGTGTTCTTTTATTTATTTATCATTTACAGAAAGGAAGTTACAGTAAATGCAGGTTTATAGGGTGTCCATTCCTCGTGCTGATGTAAACCTCATGGGCCCCTTACTCATGTGGTTTGGTTATGTTTTGGCGGGTGAAATCGTTTTTGGGTTTATTTTTACTAATCGCAATATTAGAATTTTGTGTTTATTATGAAATGTTCTGTTTTTGGTGCGGTCCCATCTCCTTTCATCTGTTATACTTTATTTCAGACACTACTGAATCAGGAGCAAATTTTGATGTTTGCTCTACTTTGCTTTTATTGGAAGAATTCTGCTACACAATTTCTGTAGAGAATTTGGGGTTTAGAAAATTAAGTTGAGGATGAATTGTAATTTGGCATGTACATAGAATTGTTTGTTTCCAAGTTGTCGCCAAAACCAACCGGAACTGGTAAGTAATGGCGAGGAATGATTTTAAAGTGAGTGATATTAATTGGTAAGGTGATACAGTTAAGATGCTGCTTGAATTTATAGTTTTCCATTAATTTTGTGTCTCTAAATAGATAAATGAATAAGCAGATTTTCTAACTACTGTACCTCTACTGCAGGTATGTGGTGGTGTACTTTTCCATCCTTTATGGCCGTTATCATGCCGGTATTGTTACAGATGAGATGCTTTCTTTACCCAAGATTCCATTCATGGCTGTAGGATTGCTAGAGGCTCTTGGTGCAGTATCAGGCATGGCAGCTGGTGGTATGTTTGTTATGGTGTCTTTTTTGCACTATTTTCCCTGCTGCTCATATAGAAATGTTCATTTTCTTCTAAATTTGTTAGGTTGCTGGAACAGCTGGTTTTTGGTTAATTTAGCTTATTAAAATATGTTTTCTAGCGAAATAACCATGCCTGAATTGAAACTTTATGATAGTAGTTTAGTTCACTACATTATGCTTTCTAGTGCAACAATCATGCGGACCTTGAAAATTTATAATAGTATTGTCAGAGAGAATGTGGTAGATATGTATATTTTTAAATGGTATTTTTAGTATTATTCAGAGAAAACTCTGATGACATGGTGGTTATTTGGTGGGAAGTATTTAAAATACATTTATTATAGAAATACAAAGTAAAAATAATGCAAATGTTTCTTTATTTTAAGTTCCATGCAAATTATATATAATGATACACAATTTTTATTTTGTTAGCATGCATTTTAAATGGAATGAAAGAATTTCTCTCTTGCTTTCTCTATGATGGGAGGTTTGATTGTGCGGGAGGGATGGTGGGATCTAGGATATTATGAGTGATGGCGATAACAACAATAATGATGGGATTGGGTTTATAGGTTTGGGGAGAACTGATGCAAGCAACGGTGTCGGGGACAACAACTGTGGGGATTAGGATTACAGGCCGAGTGTGGTGAGATTTGAAGATGGTAGTGTGGTTGGCTTGGTAACATCACATCTCATGGTGCAGGGGATATCTAGATCACGACATTTGAAATTGACTATATTAAGGTGAATTTAAAGTTCACAAAAAGAGGCATTTAGGGATTCCAAATTTTTCAAAAAATTATTTGACATTAGTTTCATGCCAAGCACCTGAAAAATCAAGTCATGTATTTCTTTTACTTTACACTCTCTTAATAAGAGTTTAAGTGTCACGACTTGACCTGGTGCTTGGAATTAACGAAGATGGGTACAGACGGTCGGACGGTAAAAAAAAAAATTCTTTAACTAACATTTTAATATATGAAAGAGCCACCAAGAAAAAATGAATAAAAGTAAAACAGTTAAAATTTTTCTTTTTTCTGATTGTCTACGTCTTCTATTTCTCGTCCATCATTAATCTTTTAATAAATTAATTAAACCTCAAAAGTTAGGTAAAACAACAGTTGGCTAAACAAAATTAGTGAATACTTTTACTTATAAATAATAACAATTTAATAAAAAGGGTGACGGTATGTATGTCAATTAAACTGTGTAAAATATAATAGCATTTGGTGGATTGTACCATCTAAAATGTTCATTTAAGGTGATTTTAAACATTTACTGTGTCTTACTATATCATTTACATATTAATATCATTTTTATTCTGTATACGACCGTCAAAGAAGCATCATCTAAAAATTGTACTACTTAAGGTATATCAATATCAATAAACTTTTTCATTTACGTGCACATGTACCTTAGCTTTCTCTCGCTAGTACCATAAATATGTGTTCTATCATATCCAAACATTTACATGCAAACAATCAAAATAGTAAATCTCATTCCTATTATATCATTCAATAACCTGAACTATATATTTAAATAAAATGCAAATATCAGTGACACACTTGATATGATCAAAAGGAAATTGAATAGTAAGTAAAATCTATCTTAGACAGACTAAATCAAACATAGGAGAAATTAATATTATTATAATTTAAAAATATAAGTACTCACCTTATTTTTAGATGTTCCTTGCTTGCTTTTGAACTTGTACCAACTCTTTTAAATTAACACCTGTAAAATATAAAATATTCAATTATTAATTTACTTAATTATATTTTAATTTAATTATTAATTATTGTTGGAGTACATTATTTTAACTAAGACTTTAAATACTTAAAATTTAAGTTTAGTCAATACATTTATATTAATAATAAATATTATTAATTTATAGAAAATACGTTTGGAAATAAAATTTGAACTTTTCTTGTTGTCGTCAACCATTCTTCGATCCAAAAGTGAAACTTTTATAGCCTGAAATCAATGCACTTAAATTTTTTCATTTAACTAATAAACTTAAATATATATTTAAATATATTAGTATTCAATAACCAACGTAAAATTTGTCGAAAAATCATGACGTGAATTTTTTTTTTATCATTGTAAATCCTTGGGCATCCCCTGGTAGCAACATGTTGTATGACGTGAATACAGTGAAACTGTGTAAGAGCAGCTACATAAGTGCCTTGGTATAGTGTCAAATGAGCAAGAGTTCTCACATTATGGACGGATGCATGTAAATTAGTCTATGAAACTAATATTCGGATATGATCTTGGAATATAAGTATTCTGATGGTAAATTAATGGAATTAGTTGATATTATGATTCATAGAAAGATAAATAGCTTATGTATCAAGAAACTAGATGAGTTGGAGAAAAATGCTAAGAAGATTAATAACTTAGGTTTTAAACTTTGGTATTCATATAAGAGTCGCTCTAGAAATGGTGTAGGTGTAATTATAGATACGAGTTTGAAAGATAATATTATAAAAATTAATAGAATTGTAGATTGAATTATAACCGTTAAGATTATTATTGATACTAAGATTTTTAATATTATAAGTGCTTATGCACCTCAAGTTGGTTTAAATATAGGTTTTAAAGAAAAATACTAGAATGACTTAGAAGACTTCATATAAATAATACCTCTTGAAGAAAAAAATTTATTGGAGGAGATTTAAATGGACATGTCAGTAGAATGGTAGAAAATTTTAGAAATATTCATGGTGGCTACAATTTTGAAGTAATTAATGTAGAAGGAATAGCCATATTTGATTTTGCTTTAGCATATGATTTTGTTATTGCTAATAATTTATTCAAGAAAAAAAAATGAACATATTATTACTTATAAGAATGGATCTAATAAAACACAAATTGATTATTTTCTTATGAAAAGAAGAAATGGTCAAGAATGTAAAGATTGTAAGGTCATTCTAAGAGAGATTTAAGTACTTAACATCGCTTATTAGTTCTAGATTTTAAAATGAAGGGTTGTAAAATAAAGAATACTAGAAATCATTATCTTAGAATTAAATAGGGGCATCTAAAAGATAAATAAAATTATTTTTATGAGTAAACTTCAAGATTTCAAGATTTGAGATGTTCATGAAGAAACAAATTCTATGTGGAATTAAATAACAAACAATATTAAATAGGTGACAAAAGATGTACATGAAGAATCAAAAGAAAAAACTTCTATAAAGAAAAATAGTTGATGTTGGAATAATAATGTGTAAGAAAATATAAAATATAAGAAGTTATGTTATAAAAATTGATTTAAATGTAAAAGCTTAGATAACTGGTAAAAATTTAAAATGACCCGTAGGGAGTCTGAGAGAACAATCTGTTACCTAAAAAATTTTGGTTTAAGTGATCTTTAGGTATTAAAGTTGGTGAAAAATGTGTAAACTAGCCAAACGAAGAGAAAAAAAAAAGATTTAATTCAAGTAAAGTATATTAAAGATGAAAATCAAAATGTGTTTTTCTTAAAAAAATATTAAACATAGTTTGGTGTGTTATTTTGATAAACTTCTTAATGAAATCTCTGGAAATACTATCTATCTTAGTAATTCTAATATTGTTAATAGTATTAAAATATTTCATTTTTACTGTTGCATTAGTTAAAAAGAAGTTGAGGAGGCTTTAAAGAAAATACAAGAGTGGAAAGCCTGAAGGACCTGATGATATCTCGATTGAAGTGTGGAAATATATAGAAAATTTAGGAGTTTCTTGCCTTTCTAAACTCTTTAATATTATTTTAAAAACTAAAAAGATGCCTGAGGAGTGGAGGAAGAGTATTTTGGTACTCATTTTTAAGAATAAAGGGGATGCACAAGAGTGCGCAAATTATAGAAGAATTAAGTTGATGTGTCATACTTTAAAATTATGAGAGAGGGTAATTGAACATAGGTTAAGGCGATTACAAAGATTTCTCATAATCAATTTAGATTATGCCGGACAGGTCTACCATGGAAGCTATACATTTATTGAGAGGTTAGATGGAGAAGTTCAGAGAGAATAAGGGAGATCTACATATGATTTTGATTGATTTAGAAAAAGCTTACGATAAAGTTCCAAGAGTTATCCTTTGGAGAGTATTAGAGAAGAAATGTATTGATATGTCTTATATTCAAGTCATTAAAGATATGTATTCTAGAGCTGTTACTTGCATTTGAACAGAAAGAGGATTGATCAAATATTTTCTTATTTCAGTTGGATTACATCAGGTATTGGCTTTAAGCCCATATCCTTTTGCTTTAGTTATGAATGCTTTTACTGGACATTTATAGGGGTGTACCTTGGTGTATGTTTTTTGCTAATGATATCCTTCTTGTGGATAAGATTAGAAAAAAAGCTCAGGAAAAACTCGAAATATGGAGGTCTACATTGGAGTCTAAAGGCTTTCGTTTGAGTAGAACTAAAACTGAATAAATGGATGTAATTTTAGTAGTAGTAGCTCTAGTGACAGAGCTGTTACTATGGGTGATTAAATTATTAAAAGTTGTGAACGCTTTAGATATCTCAGGTCTATTGTTCAAAGTGATGGTGATATAGAATGGTGATATAGATGA